GTTCAGCAGCTATTTATTCACCTCATTCTTCAGCAGCTAAGCACCCTGGAAAGAACAAGTCCTGTTTCCTCTCTTCCTTATAAGATGTCCCCCACACCATATCCATCAATCCAAAGTGAGGGGGAAGAAAAGTGAATTTAACTCCCTATGCTCTGAATTAAAGCTTGGGGTAGCTATAGATGTACATGATACATAGGCAATGCTGTTGCACCTCAGAACTTAATTTTAAAAGCCATTCAAAGGCAGAGATGAAGCCTACTTGAGCAAGGCACACAACTTAGGCCACCAAACTGCCTAAAATTCTGTCTCCTCCCCCTGACAAGACATGCCTGGGGAAAAAACAATAGGTGAATTACCAAACATAATGGTTTGAACATCAGAATACCTGCATGCTTTTTCATAAGTCTTACCAAATCATAGCCTGTTTTGAGTCCTCAGAACGCATATTCATAAGCTTCACAAAGAACCTGGACAAATAACATAAAGGGCCAATGTTTTCCATGGCCATTTAAAGGTCTGACCCTGGCAAACTTTAAACCATGGCTTCAGGGGGATTTGTACCAGAAATAAGGACTGAAGCCACTTAAGAATAGGATGCACAAAAGCCAGCAGACTTAGCAGAAACCAGGCCTCTAGGCTCCTCCTCCTAGAGCACTCAGCCAGAATGGGGAAGCCACAACATCTGCTGAGAAGGTCTGAATCCCAGTCTACTGGGTGACAGTGGTAACTCCCAGGATATAGGGTGCTTTGGTAAGGGTGCCTCTCAGTCTGTATCTGCAACCAGACGTGGATAGTTAGAGATAGAAAAAGTGCTAAAACTCACCCCACCCCATGAGAAGTATGGGGTGGCAGAAGGCAACAGCAGCTACGTGGCTGCATAGCCCTTTTCCCTTCCTACCTCTTTATCTTGTTCCCTCTTCTCTCCTTCCTTCCTCTCCCCTTCCATGAAATCAGTCTTCTCTTCTCGGAAGGAACTGGAGTTGTTATTTACGAGTTCCTTGTGCGTAGTTGTTTCTGACCTTCTGATTATGCTCATTGCTTTATTCTGGACTGAGCCTAGCAGTGACTTAGGTAGTCAGCTAGCCGGGAGATTACAACTCCAGTTGCAAGAACTGGGCTCCTTCCTTAACAGAGTTATAGTTTTTTAATTTATAATCACCATCTGGACTTCACCATGCCATGATCTCATCCATCAAAAGCATCTGAATTTCTGTGTGTTAGGCCTGTCTTGCCTTGCCTTGAACATGTTTATCATCAAATCATTATGCATAAACAGAGGATATAATAACCTAAGTCATTCATTTCCACTCATTAATTGATGGACTTTCGTAACTCAGTTCTGAAAAACCATAAATAATACACAGAAATAAACAAAAGCAGTCAGTTTGCTGCATACACATTCAGAGTGTAAACACAAAAAGCTAACTCTGGTGAGCAGAACACAGGATAAATAATCACCAAGCTGAGCTGCAAAGTTGATTTATTTAAGTCAACAGCTTGCATGGCAGTGGGTTTTTTTTTTAACTAATTTCCCATAAACAAAGATAGCTGAAATCTTTTATTCAGACCAGACAGTTTTTGTATCTCAGAAATTCTGCTAGATTAATCTCCATCAAGACCATGTAAGAAAGAATTTTCTACAAGCGCTTTGCAAGAATGTTGTAGATATAGTGTTAATCTCAGAAGAAAACTAAGTAGCCTGCTAAGCACCTACCAGCATCATCTCAGTTAAACTAATGTTCATTAAATAAAATGAGTTTATTTAACTATCCCTATACCCTTGTGAGTAATAAAGAGGAAAATATTTAAATCTCTCCCCACCGGCTTCATGTGTCAGCTGGGTGGTGAATCTCCATATAGGTAATTTGCAAATACAGAATGAGAAGCATCGGCATTCTCACTTCACAGAGCAAAACGTGTTGTCCAGAAGAGGTGATGGATCATCTCCCCTACTCCTACTTCTCTGGACTGGAGGGAAAGTGAGGAGTTACTTTTTAAAATAATGAGACCCAAGGCTCTGCAAGAGGCCAGGAGCATTCACCGTGACATTTGCTGCCATCTCTTAGCTGTACCACTTCTGCAGGAGCTGCACGACAGAGAGCTACACGTTCCCACTAACACAAAAGCAGCCTAGACAACGCAGAGGTCGTACAGAGAAGGAAGGTGGTTTGGCACTCGTCAAACACAGCTGAAACTGGCCCAAGCATCCACCCACCCAGAGCAGCTGCAGCCTCCTCCATCATGATGTCGTCTTCCATGCTTCTCCTCCTCTTTCTCATCTCTATCACTGTCCACCTTAGTCCTCGCCCTCCTCCTTATTTCAGTGTTTTCTCTTTGCTTTCCATTTGGTTCATCCCTTCTTAAATGAGTTCACATATATAGACCTAACGTAGATTTTACCTAACATCACACTTATTGCTCAAATGTTTGAACACCTTCCCCAATCTGTATCTATCCTGCCAGTACACACTGTTAGATATCAATGGCTTAGAAGAGTTTGCTGCTGCTCTGTTAGGGATTAGCACCATCTTCTCCCCCCTCCCGTAGTTACTAGGCGTGGCCCTAAAACACTCAATTTGTACTGGAACTAGCCCTTACAGTTTTTAGAATCAGACCATTAACATTATTACTGTCACTCAATTTGCATGCATGCTGAGGTACAATAAGAGATGGAATTTTCAATGTATTATTAGATTAAAACATAAAAATGAGTAGATGAATTGCCTTGAAACTGCATACAGAAAAACATTCCCATTAAAAAGGAGTCTAACTTGCAGCAAAGCAGCAGCAGGACAATAATGGAATATCCTTTAGGGAACTGGCATTCCCATCCCCAATTCCATCCTGACACTAATTCTTCTGCTCGTATTGATATAATGCCCAGAGCATAACCAAACTAGCTGTCTTTGTACAGAAGACTGTTACTAATGTCTATTCCAAATTATGACAGAGAAAAATGACGACCCATATACCTGCGCAGATATTTTTGCAAAATGTAGGGCAGTGTTTTGAGCCAGCACATGTTGGTACTTAGGACTATCCCTGTTTCCCAAAGTTGCTGTATTCCTCTCACGCTGGAAAGAAGCACAGAAAGCAAAGTTGTGTCATAATTAGAATATCATGACCCCTTTGGGAATGACATTTTGTTAGCCATACACAAATAGAATCTGAGCTGGAAAGAGTAAACTGAAGTAATCCCACAACGGCAATTAACTTGAAATATCATTTTATTGATCTCAGAATATAGTGCTTTGCAGCTGCTTAATAAAATTGGAATAATTAATAAAAGTAAATGCTGAACCCTTCCAATGAGTATATAGCAATGAGAAATGCACCGTATGAGCCAATCTGTTCATGAACTGATCCACAGAGATGAAATTCCTGGGCCAAATAGGCTTTTTAAATTAAAAAAAAAAAAGCAGTTAATTGTAATTTGGTTTGACATGTATTTTTTATATTAGAACTCTGTTTTGTTTATGTTCTAAAAACATTTTCCATTTTATACATTTGCTTATTTTGCAGAGAGTCTCTAACTTGGATAAAAATACAACCAAAGCTGAGAGTGCCTGGCTGTTCAGAATATGGTATGGATTTGACCACAAGTATCCTTTTCTGGTATAAGCCATAGACAGCATGATGTCATTACAACTGACATCTTCAAAAATATTTAAGAATCCAAACATGATTATACTTTTAAAATCAAAACCTGAACACATTAAATTAAATTACAGCCTTTGTAAGGAGAAGAAATCATGAAACAAAGAAACAGGAGTTTTGCAGAAGCAGGAGAACACAGTAGGACCTTCCTGAGTGAGGCTGTGGAGAGCCATCCAAGATAAGAACTGCTGCCTCATGGCAATATATAGTTGATGTGTTTAAATAAATTAACCTGTTTGAATTCCAGGATAAAATTAAGCCACTTATTACTCAGATACAGAGGCGGAAGGCTGCAGAATGGCTGACTGGGCAGAGGACAGGCAGGCTGGAGGGCAAGGCCCTTCCCAAACCTCCCTGGCAGGCACTCAGCAGCTCCACACTCCTCGAGCCAAAGACTGCTGCCTGCTTGCATGTTTCAGAGCATCAGCTACCCAAGGGAAAGCATAAAATAAGACAATACTGGTTTACCCACACCCCTACAAACGGCCAGGGAAAGATGCTCCCAGTGTGAAGACATAGCTCCCAGGACTTCCCTGGAGCTCACACTTCATTTTCCACGGAGTCTTGAACCTTTGGACTTCTATTCATGTTCCTACTGAGGCAGCACTGTCACATCTTGCATCCTCAATGTCTGCCTCCCAAAGCCCCGGTACAACACGTGCTGCTTCGCTCCTTGACATCTATGCTGTCACTAATTCCTGTGCAAAGAGATGGTAAATGCTCAGGGTCTAAGTTATTGTCATTTTATCCTCACTCGGCAAAGGCTTCACAAGCTAGCAGTGACGATAGCCCACAATGACAATTATGCCCTAAGCCTCTAACAGACCAAGACAATGAATATAATAGAAGTCCTCCTGCTATTTTCCATGCATCCTGGCTTAGGAACTCAGTAGGTAAAGCCCTACCAACAGCCTCCATTATTCCATAGCATGTCTATTGTTCCATTATCCCGCGCTATTGAGTGGAGAGTAACGTTCTGGCTACATCTATATTTTTCTGATGTGAGCTGCAGCAAACTAGGGTGAAATAATATTTCTGCTGATAAGATGTAGTTCTTTGGGAATACAGCTTCCTAGGAGAGTTCAAGTGAAGTTATCCTTCAAAAATATTTGTGATAGAAAAAACATCTTTTCAGTTAAACATGAATGCATTGCCCTAATTTATCTACCAGAGCAGTTTTAAGGACCAAAAAGCACTTAGAGTTAAAATTTTTCCCTAGAATAATTCTTCAAGGATACTTAGAAATATCATGTGAATGGAGTATAATGGGGGAAATATGTTTAAAAATTAATGCTGAGTACCACTGTAAATGGCTTTAGCTACCACCAGTCCCACTTCTTCAGAAGGAAGAGCCTATGGTTGTGCTAGATCTCAGAAACATAGAACAGTAAGTCAGAAGGAAGAGATGAACAAGGGAAAGAAAAGTTGTGCTCTGAAAAAAAGAGAGAGAGAGAGCACACACAAAAAACGTGGACAGGAATGGCAAGAACAGGGCAGAGGTGAGTTTAAAAAGAAATAAAGGGAGAACAAGGGCAGAGCTAGCAAACAAGAGAAAGAGGCAGAAAAGAAACAAAAAATCAATACGAAAGAGTCAGACAACAGTATATGCAAATTGAAAGGACTATAGAATTCACAAGAAGCAAAACCAAAGGTCGTCTTTACCATTGCCTCTCCAAGGTTACCTGTATGCTAGAAACCTTGAATCTGGGCCCCTGATGGTTTATTCTAGAAAGTCTAGTTTCAAAGGTTTTTGCATTTCAACAAAATATTTTAAGTGATTTTCAAAAGATTCTTAAAATTAAGACAAAATTACTCTTAAGTGTCAATCTTGCTTCTAGTCAAGTTGTAGTCTTTCTTTTGAACTCAAATTTCAGAGACTACAGCCCTGCCATTATCCTAAAATACATTTTCATTCTAAAAAATATTTCTACATTTTACTAATCCTGAAAATGTATGCCCATATCCTTGGAGAGGATGATGGTTCTGCCCGCCAGGGCTGTGACTCACAGCTCTGAGCATTTCTTTAGTATGGCTATTTCTGAAATATATTCTTTTTAGGGAGGGAGGAATTATCCTCCTCAACTTTTCTTCATGACTGTGCCCTTCACTGCCTAATGTTACAAAGCTGTGCTGCTAAAGTTAAAAGAAGAAATCGTCATGTAGCGCAGTATTTATGCCCAGTACAAGATTGTATACTGGATTTTGATAAAGTTTTTAAAGAAAAGATACTGAAAATAATCACCTGTCTGTTTATATACTTCGAAAGCATGCATGACTGTGACATTTCTATAGTTCGACATTTGCTCTCCGGCATTAACACAAAGCTACTCACTCTTCTGGCAATAACATCTCTCTGCCTGTTTATTTCACAGGGGAAAAACAAGAGTGAGGAAATATCCGTAAAGAAATTAAAAGGTTGTGTTGTTTTTTGCTGTCATTCTGAATGCCACTTAACTCAGTGGTCTTAGACAACAGCAACCCGCCACAATAGAGTTGGACTGAATCAAAAAAGACAAAATGGATTTTGAGATTCAAATTTTATTCTTGTTCTGAAGGAAACAGTAGGAGCCTCCCCCAAAGCCAGCTGGACTCCGTAAGGGTCCTTTCATTTAAACGAGTATCTTTGAATCAAGTTTTGACACTTTAGAATAACATACTGTTCTCTAAAATCAATGCTAAGAAATGTTAATATTGGAACAATTAAAATGAAGAAGAGATCATTTGAGTGCTTAGAGGTATCCGCTTGCATTTGCATCTCAATAATTTAAACAAGTAATATGCAAAGTAAAATGCATGGTATTTGAAAGAGTGCACATGCGGGTGAATCTCTTTCAGCTTCCTTGTTTTTACAGCTTACAGTACTTTACCATTCCAAGCTGTCACAAGCTACTAAAGGCTAGTGGAGAAGAAAAGCGAGAGGAAAAAAACAAAAATAGTTCAAGAATTCATCTGGAGGAAAAAAAAAACAGGATCAACAATCCAGCATTATATAGAATATAAAGAATTTTTTTCCTGCAAGAGCAAAGTCTTCTGTACATAAGGGCACAGCTCAAATAAACGGTGAGCAAAGTTGTCCCGTTCCAGATGCATCCCACAAGAAAATTATCACTTTACTCCCAGGTAGTAGCAATTTGCTTTTAACTCTTCTCAATTCCAAACCTCCTTTCTCACTTACTCCAGACAGGATGTATATAAGACTGCAACTGGTTTCTCCCCACCTTGTCCTAAGACATGGAGTACCTGCCTAGTGCTAGAAGAGATTTCTTTCTCCTCTACATAGGCCTGTATTCCCAGTAACAACCTACCCCTAAAAATGAAGGTAAAATTAATAGTGTGAGACTGCGAACAGCCTTCATCTGATTTTCCAGATACTTTGGACTAAACTTCTGCAATCATTTTTAGTTTAATACAATTTTGTGCAAGACTTCTTGTCCACTAAGGCTTTTTTTTCCCTCTCTCTCTCTCTATTCATATAATTCTCACTTCCTCATGTGGGGTCATTTTTGCTCTCCCTGGCTGTCCTGTAGCATCAGTCAGGAAGATGACCACACTGCCTTCCCTGCTGCTAAAGCTATGTATTGAAAGAAAAGAGTATTGGGGATTGGTGCACTAAAATAGAAAAATGCAGAAATAACAAACTGAAGAGGAAAAAACAAGACGCTATATAGGCTAAGATGTTTCCATCCATAAACGCTCACCTTCCTAAGGAGAAGCCTGCATTACGCTGCAGGACATCTACTTCTCATAGGCGAGTTCGCTCTTCAGTACCACACGCTGAAACGTGCATTGGGAAACAACAGTTGCTGCATAGCAGGAAAACACGCACAAGATTACAACAGAGGAAACAGAGTGAAAGCGAGAAGGGAAGGAAGAAGAGGGACAAAGACTTCAAATGCACAGTAAGTTTCTTTTTAATACTTAATATGCACTGGCTTGCCATAGGTGGGCCTTGGGCTGAGCTGCAGCCAGGTCTGGTTGGTTTTTTTCTGGCCAACGGGTTAGGAAGGAAATAGGTGTGATGTGGTCCTCCAAGACTGAACAGGACCAGAGTGCTGATGCTCCCTATCACTGGCACACATGAAGGTGAGAGGGAGCAGCAAGCGAAGAAAGATGGTGGTTGTTAGCTGGCAAACACGGGTACTATAAGTATTACAGTGACAGGCCCTCCGCGTCCTTGATACCGCGCCAAGCCACCAAACCCTCACAGGCATGCAGATACCCAGCATCCACAGAGCTTTCCCTTTCGACCTTCTCAAACGCACACTGCCACAAATAGAGCAGGAGGAGGAGTACTTTCTCCTTCTTTACAGATTTCTTTTGAATTTGGGGAACTAACATTCAGTTACACGGAAGAGAAGCAGGAGGCTGGGACAGAGTCAACCCATTCTGCCTAAAGAAACTTGTAAAAGTGTTTCTCCTTGAACTGCGGTTACCGACCATTCAGCTGTACTCCTTTCGGTTTAAAAGAAAATAGTTTATGGCCTTCCCACTTACGTGAAATCAATCAGCCAAAAGAAATTGTGTTATTTGTAAAGACTTCAAAAGTTTATCCTCCTTAACTTATCAGAGCACCTATCATTTTATTTCTCCTGTGCTTTGCGAATGGATAAAACAGACATAGTGACTGCCTATGAAGTAAGATAAGTACAGTTCTGCGCCTGTGAGAAAATGGAAAAGCTACTAAAAGCAAAAATGCATTCCAGGGTATGGTGAAGTGAATCAAAGAAAAAGTCAGCATCTTATGGTCTTCAGCTGAATTTTCTGTATGGTATGACTTACCACTGCCGTATCAGAGACAGACATCTTTGGAAAGAGATGACAAGAGGCTGTAAGAATGTGTGTGCACACTGTTTTCTTTTATCTGCTGGTAAATGAAAGGTTTCCTAATTACTAATATTCTAATATGGCAATCCTTAGCACTTCAGTAGCAGCAGCAATATAGCAT